TTTTGTTTTAAGTCGGCGATTCGAGCGTGAAAAACATGCGAAAAGCTCAAAAACGATCTGATATTTCGATTTGTATGAGAATTTTGCAAAAAATACAACTAGAGTATTTATTTTTACGTTTAATATAATATTTTTAAAATAATATGAAAAAGCCAGTTTTTGAAGGTAGAAAAAAAATTTCAAAAAATCTTCATTGGGTCATCATGGTGAGTACGCGTGTACTAGTGACCTCATTCATTTCAGAAACACTTTGTACTTGCAATATTAATTATAAAAACATATTAAATTAATATTTATCAGACATTTTCTAGGATACTATGCATAAAATAGTTATTTAATGTGTAAAATCAAATTATACTAATAAATAATAAAGTATTTTTGTAATAATTAATAAATATAATAATCACTAATTTAATATAAATTAATTCAATATTCAATAAAAAAACTAATTACTTTTACTGCATTTTATAATAAATTTGGACCAATAAAATACTATCTAAAGTTACCTATTATATGCAACATTTCACAGGTCAAATATGGTATTAATATTAATATTAGAGTTATGTTAAAAGTTTACTTAACTAAAAATTTAAGTTGCTTTTGAAGTTGAAAAATATTTATGGAGTTAAACATAAAATACATAAGTTTCATAATTTGTATAACCTATGCTAGTTTTTTTCATAAGTATGATTAATGATTATGAAAGATATGTATAATAGTATAATATATATTAAAAAGAATAGTTTATTGAGTATGTTTTATAAATAACTGTTGTAGGTTATATACTCTACAATTTGTTCAATATAGTTAATAATACTTTTTCTGTTTATAATATTAATAATAATAATAATAGTTATGTATTGTATAGTTAGGTATTAAACAGTAACAAACATAATTTAGAGTGGCTTGGCGTGGCGCGTTGGCTGCTACCAGTTGCGGAATGCGATTGAGAGTAAGTAACAGCCACAGCTACTAGCTTCCGGATGGATGACCACCCGGGATCATAGTGGTTAAAAACCTTGCCACACATACATGTGTTTACTATTAACCGTAACAATCATAAAAAAAAAACAACCTACTGTACCAACCTTACCCCTACCACAGTTCATAACCCCTACAACAGCTAATGGCCCTAGTTGCCGAAGCTTGAGTTCAATAAAAAAAAAAAAATATAATTTAAGACAGATGATAATATATTTGTTGTTTAAAGTACAAATGTAAGTGTAGTGTCAAACTAATATATATATCATTCATTATTTAACTATGTCTTATTACTGATTAGTCATATTTGACATTAGGTATTGAAATAAATTATTTTACTTTAGTTTGTTTATTTTGAAATTTAAAATGTTTCAACATTTTTGCAGTCTGTTTAATGTATTAATTTTATTTTTAGATTATAAATACAACTTATATTATTAATAATTACTTTTTTTTAAAGGAATACAATTTTTTTTATTTATTTAAGGGTACAAAATCTAATTTTCATAACTTTTTATGGTATAAAAGTTAAATTTTTTAAATAATTAATTAAATAGATAATAATTAGGCATACCTTGTTGATAAATTTTTACAAAACTTATGAAAACCATTAAAAATATTTCATTTTGTTCTATACTAGTTGATATGGTAAACATTGTTTTGAGAGTGGTTCAGAGTACAAAAATTCCATCAAAAGAAAAAAAAACACTTTCACCAAAAAGTTTTTACAAAGATTTTAATTTTTAAGACATTCCAATTTTTTTTTTAGTAAAAATTTTATTTGGACTATTACTTATTAAAAAGAAATAAGTGTGATTGGTCATGTGTTTTCAATTTATGTGCTTACCAACTAACATAATTTTGCTTATATATTTATAGATTCGGGGAAAAAATTATTATTCTGATTATAATAATGAAATATACAATTGTAGTTAATTTTTATAGAACTCAATATTATATTTTGAAGCTTTATTCAGATATTGTTTATAATAGCTTTTTTTTTTGTATATTAGGCATTAAGTTTGTTTCTATTTTTAATTTTAGAAATCATTTTTGGTTGAATATTTGATCTAGTTCGTCTGTGAGCAGTGAAAGTGAGAAGTGGTTAGTTAAAAGTAAAAAATGTTCTAGATTAACTAAAAAAAAAAAATAAATAGTTAAAGAATATTTATGAACTATTTTCAACTTAATAATTTTTTTTTTTTTTTTTTAATTAAAAAAAAATTACCATAGAGATAAAATGTTTCCAAATATTTATCATGTAATTTTCTCAATATAATATAATCTTAAAAATATTTCAGTTTGTTTGAGCTATTTATAGACATTTAAAATGTTTAACTTTTTTTATTTTTATTTTTTTGAATGATGATGATAAACATTTTTATTAAGTCAAAAAGCTTGAAAACAATAATATAAAGTTCCTTATTAGTTGTTCTTTAAGTTATTTAAAAATATATAAAATACATTTTTGTGTGTATTTGACCATGGTTACTGCGTTAGAATTTTCGAAATTTTTATTTTAGGACTTTTTAATTCATTAGTAGGTATGATAGTTTTAGGATGCTATTTATTTGTTAATCTCATTGTGCATGTTGTTTTTGTTGTTTATAACAATATCTAGATATTTAAAATATTCAATTTTTTATCTATAATTATCTACAGTTGTGTAGTCAATATTTAAGGGATACTCTTTATTACCTTTAAATATTTAATTTTATCCTTGTTTACATTCAAACCTTTAAATTTACTTGTTACTTATCAAAAATTGACTTTCATATTATCATTATACAAATGTAATTCAATATTACTCATTATTTACATATTTCCATTTTTCATTCATCACCATACATATTTTACTGTGTTCTTTAATACTAAATTAAATTATGAAAGAGACATGGTATCTTCATTCTACTTAATCTTTAAATTCTCTATTATACTTTGCAAGAAAGATAATCTGCAAGTAGTAGTACTGTTACATCTTTTTTTTAAGTTCATCTAATTTTTAGGTTTTATCAATACTTCCTATTTTTTTCAACCTACTGTATTTCTAATAGAAAAGTAAATTAATAGGTATTAGATATAATAATACTATAAATTATAAATGCATTATTAAATATCTTTTGAATAAAGGCTGATTGATAAAATGTAGTCTCTGCTCATATTCATTGTCCGTTTTCAATGATTTATCATTGAATTTAATAATTAATATCATGTAGATCACTTAATAACAGGATAAAGTAGTTTTTAAACATTCTATATAGCAGACTACAGAGTAAGTTTTTTTGGTTATTTTAATATTGATTCTCATGACTGGAAAAATTTAGTTGGTAGTTGGTTTTATAATAGCCAAGTATATTGGTTGGTGGGTATAGAATTAATAAAAAATTTGACGAATGGATTGTAAGTATCTAATAAGTGTTATTTACATTATATTTAATATAAACTATTAATAAATATACTTAATACTATAATTTTAATTTGTTTGTAACAAAATGTATTAGATAATTGTCATTCATTATTCTATACTTAAGTTTTATCTTTAAAAAGTAATTTATAATTAAATATTGATAACAAGTATTTAAATTTAGATTTTTGTTGAAATATCTCTATTTATTATCAAATAATTTTAGGTACATGATGGCACTTCTACTGGACATTCAAGTACTGCTCCTAGTCCTCCACCAACACAAATAAACAAACTTAAGTTAGGACCAATCACAATTAAAAGGGAGAAAAGACAAAACTCTTCACGCTTTAATGTTGTAGCTACCAATCGCGAACTTCAAGTTCTGCAATCACTTAATGGTATGCATAATATTTTTAAATATTTAAAGTACAAAATAAGAAATTGAAATGATACAAATCATTTATTTATAGAAGATAGTTTTAATGTATAGTTATAAATGTTATATTAATTCTTTAGAATATATTGTGACAGTACATTAATATTAATTAATTACAATTTATTTTTCTATGTATGCATATATTTAAGTTAAGTGTTAGTGATCGAGTTTCTCACATTTATAAATGCACTAAAGCATTTATTTATTTTAAATTCAGTTTTCAAGAGAAAAAATTGGACTTTTCAAGTTTAGTATTTATTTTTGCATAACCTACTCAGTATTATTTTTAATAGATTTTGATTATTAGTTAAATTGAATCTGATAATTTCTAAAATGTAATAAAAGAGTTAATATAATCATTAGGTATCAGATTTAAGTTTTATCATTTATAAATTATGTTGTATTGTATTTTAACAAACTTGATTTATATTTAATGATAATTTGGAAAAATAAACCATTTTTGAATCTAAAATATATTTAATGCAAGATATGAACATTTTTAAATTGTAATATTTTGCATACCTATAACCCTCATCAGTGGTGTATTTAGGATTTATTTGAGGAGAAAATATGACTGTAATAGTTTTTCTCCTTCCATTCAAAGTGCATGAAGATATTACTTACTAAAGATATTTACTCGGCTAGAAAATTAAATGCATAGGTACATACACATATGTTATTGGATATATCGTAATTTCTATTTATAATCGCACACACGCGACATTGAACCTTCTCATTCGTGCGGCGCTATACAGTCTATGCGCGTTATTGCCGTCATAATTTTATTATTTTCACTTTATTTGTCGTATATTATCATACAGCCCGCTCTGCCGACAGGCGGTAACGGGACGGTCGTACGCCGGTCGTGGGCACACGACCAACACTTGTTACGCCAGTGGTCGTGCACACGTGCCCCGCGCGGGACGGTAGCGACATCTGGCCACCCGGTCACCGCGCTTGCCGCTAGCCCGCCGGTAGCGCGTTCGGCACTCTGGTCAGCCGCGACGCCGGCGGCGGCTGGTGTTCGAAGTGTGTTTCCTTGGTTACCCCACAGCAGCGCTCATCACGGCCACCACTTTCTCGTCTCACCAGCGCCGCTACTACCCTGCCGCACCGCCCACGCACCTATTTGCCGCCACCATCGATCCACTACCGCTAATCCAAAGCTCACAGACACCGCGCTAGTCCGCGTAACGCCGTCACCGAAACGCTATGCATGTGCGCGCGCGTCCGTCTTGACAATAACAAACAATTATTAATGTTTTGAGTTTTGGTCGTCGTCGCTGATCCGCGTACGCCGTCGTCGCGATTAATGATTGTCGCCCGCTCGAAGCGAAATTATTATCGTTGTAATTTGTCGACCAACAAAATCGAAATAAATTCAATAAAATCGCACTCGGCCCCGGGGGGCGCGCGCGCGCAATCGTGCCCGTCGTCGCCGTCGCACTCGCGAGGTTTCTGCTGTACACAATATTCTGACATCCGCACATCGCACACAAATAATAAATAACAATTTATTATTAGTGTTATTATATTGTTCGCCGTTCGAGAAACCTTAGTGCTGCAGTCGTGTTGGAATGGTTTTTTTTATTCCGTCGTAGATTATTGCGACCGTGATAATAGTAATAAAATAAATTATAATAATACGAGTATTGTCACCTGTCGATTGTAGAGTGTATACACAATAATAATATGAATCGTAATGATAATATTATCGCATTTGTTTCTCGCCGTTATCGCGTAAAAATGTAAACGCCATTCGATATAATATAATAATGATATGTAATGTGTGCGTTGCACCTATTGTAGTCGTCAATTTGTATCATTGTAAGATAAAATATTGTGATATTATGATATATTTTTATTTGGCGTTTACTTATCGCATCGGTAGCCGCACACTCGGAAATTGCGTACATGTCGTTTTTCGCCAACAACTCGAGCAATTCGTGGTTAATTTCGTTTCGAGTTCAGTAAATGTCAAAAGGTCGATCGAGGGTGGGGTCACCTCGCCGTACACAGTTTAATTTAAAATATAATATAAATACCTACTATAAGAATCCTCAGTATTTCAACCGTGATTTTTCGACACTACGTCTGTAAATATATATTTTATTTTTCTTATTGGACTTGTGGTTGGGATTTTTTTTCTTTATAAAAAATATTATTTTGCTTTTATAATATATATGTTATGTTATTAAATTATAGTAATGATTGTTTTACTTAAGAAGGTTGTTACTTTAACAATATTAAATAAGCTAGTTTAAATTTTCTGTTTTTTTTTTCGTTTGTGCTTTATAAATAACATATGTTATCAATAAGAAAACAATTTATGAAATTCGAGTAAAAAAAATACACTTTGTGTAATGCGTTTTAATGTTTAATTTATATTTGTTTACTAATTTAAATATCATTGTTAAAAATAGAATATTCATAAATCATAATGGGATATTATTCAAATGCTAATCATCTAATATTTGAAATATTATTGAGTTATTGCAACTAAAACTGACTATAGTAACATGCATATTTGTGAACTAATTATGTAGGTTGTTGTTTTCACTCGTGAGATATCGATTACACTATGCAAAATAATATTTAGATAATTTACACTCTACATTCGAAAACAGACTGTAAACTCATTCAGCCTGGGTAATAATTTTTTTTTTTATTTATTTCATTTCAAATTTAGCGAGAAAATTAATAAATACGTCCAATGTATACAATTATCGTTTTGGACGTTTAAGTAACATTATCTATCCTGAATCGAGTTACGTGGTGGTATGCCATTGTTTTCTGCGAGTATCTGTGGTTGTGCATACGATTGTGTTATTATATTATGGTAACGAGAACTAGATGATCTTAAATGGGTGTTACGGTTAAGAGCCCGTGGCGCGGTGATTATGGTAGTGAACAAATCAGCGGGCGGTCGTACGCTCTCGCTGAGCACAACTGCCAACAGCACTGCTGCAGCAGTGGCGGGTAACCTGCAGTCCGGTGTACCATTTCTGCCCAAAAGCCCAAGCTTTCATAGTGGTTTGGATCTACTTGCTGACCGTGAAAAGTCTCCAATCATTATGTTTTGCGATCCAACAATGCACTTGCCCAGACTTCATGGTGAGTCATATATGACGATGTCCAGTTTATTATTTTCATTAGTAATGACTTATGCACGAAATTTTAATCGGAATTTTCATATTGAACGTGTACTAATTTGATGGGAACATTTTTAATACTATTATGGTATAATATATTAATATGGGTATACTTTATTGTGTATTTTGAGAACCAATATAATAATCAAATAAATTAAAATATGTGACGACTGACGAATTTATATATTGTTTTGAAAATTGCATATAGTTATTAGTTTTGATATTTAATGATATATTATTATTATTTTTTTTTTATTTAGCTACTAGTATTAACTATAATAGCTCAACAATTACATTTTTAACTGAGAATTTAAATTACATTATATATTATAAAATAAAGCGAGCATACAATTTAAAAGAAATTACAATTTTAATAGAATTTGTAGATTTTGTGTTGAGTATGGAGTAATTATTAAAAGGAATATTGAGAGTTTTAAGTACGTTAATTAAAATTAGGTGTTTGGCCTGTAGGGCAAGGCAGTTAAATAAAATATGGGATAGGTTACAGACACATTCATTTAAATGAAGTGTACAGAATGGAGACTCGTTTAGGCACAATATTATTGTTTATTATATATATTTTACGTAAAATTCAAACCTACAATTAATTCAATGTTTTGGGTTGGAACTTTAATTACACTTGTTATGTTGGGGTGACATTTTAATAGAAAGCTGGGGGTGTTAAAGTGAAACTTCCTGTTTTCAGTTATTTTGTGATCAAAGATAACATTATAAAAATTTTATTCCTACATCAGTGGTACATTCAATAATAATGTATTTGAACATGGACTTGTATTGTACAGTAGGGCTGGTGGTATTAAAAATTTGGGTACTGATATTTGGAATTTGTCTATTATTGATATCTATATGGACATATGGTATAGATTTGTATGTTATTAGAATACCTTGGTAATCAGTATTTTCGTTTCATCTATTTAAAAATTATTTTTTTTAATTATTATTTAAAAATTGAAAAATATTTTGTAATATTGGCGGAGGAGGAAGTTTATATAAAAATGAAAAAGGTACTATAATTCTATAAACAATTCTAGTATTCTAGATCAGAGGTTCTCACCTTCACAGTTGTGAGCCAGCACATCATTAACAAAGTAAAAGTATAGACTATTTTCAGTACATTATTTAGTTTGTAAATTATAAAGATATACGAATTAATTTTTGGTGATCGCTGTGACACAGTAATTTTAGTAATAACGGTAATTATTAAATCATGTATACCGGTATTTTAAAATATCATCAGTTCTATTGTACAGTGTTCCAGAAGCGCAGAAACTATTTTTATCATAGAAAGGAGGGGATATAGAGGATGACACTTTGGGTCATATTTGGACTCCTCCTCATTCTTGATATGTATATAGGAAAATTACTTAGCCCCCTTATCCGTGTTATTATTTTTTTTACTTTTTAACCATTATTTGAAACGTAAAATTTACTAAACCAGAACAAATGATTTTATTTTAAATATATATCGTATATCATTAATCATTATATACTACTGATTAAAGCGCTTTTTTCCATGAATTACTTATAACTACGTCAATAGTTTTTGAAAAATTTTTTTAATTGTAAGTATTAATAATAATAATAATAAAAAAATTATATTAATTTTTTGGATTATTTCGATGTTTAAATATCAAATTTTTAACGAGTAGTTGAATTTTAAGTATTTAAAGCATTGATTTAGCGAAGTAGATTGGTATAGGGAATAGGGATGCCCCATAAAATGTTGGTTCTCTATTCTTTATCTTATCATATTTTCCAAAGTGTCAATAGTTTTTGGAATAGCGATTGATTTATGATAAAAGAACAGTATATGTTTATAAAAAATTGGTTTGTGAATAAGAATGATAAACTTTTTTCTTTAAGAATTGGATCGGCATAATGGTCTATTCAAAGTCTTAAATTCCTAGGTTAGCACATCCTTGGATATAAATTAACTTAAAAATTTAATATAATTTAATTTCTATAGATACAAAACAAATCACATAACATTAAGTACACATGTATAAACAAAATTTTGCAGTGCTAGGGTTACTTATCAAGTCTGTAAATAAAAAAAAAAAACTGTTGACGTAGTAATTAATTAATTTTTTACATTTTAATGGTTATAATTTATTCAATATTATTAGTACTTCCCATATTATTATTAAATACAAATTTGACTGTCTGTTATAGTTTATTTGTCATGTACTTTTTCAACTATATAAATTATGTTACTGAATTACAGTGAATTTTGATTGTTTTTTTGAAATTAAAATAATTATCAGTTGTTAAAAAATAATCAAATTACTTTATTTATTTGAAATTTTAATATTAAATATTTTTAATATTAAGATTAATAGTTGATACTAATTAAAATTTAATTTGATTATACGTTTTTGTTATTCATAAAGTTGAATTTACATTATTTGGTGTTGGGAAAACAATATTATGATGTTTATCTCCTCTTATGTTTTATAGTAGTCGGGAAACTCCACTGTTACAGCGCCATACGGAATGCGTACTATTTATTGATTTATTTATTTGCTAAATAAAAATGAATTAATAACAAGTTATGTAAGAATACTTGATATCCTCTTCTCGGCTGTAATGAACTTTCATTAAACAAAATTTAAATTTTTTCCTGTGACAATATTTTCCTTTTTGTTTGGGTAGAACAAAATAAAAATTGGTTAAAAATCATGTAGATAAATTTAAATATCTGAAAATTAACTCTTAAGTTTTATTTTATTACGTTTTTGTCTGGCATTTTTTTGAATTCAAAATACAGTGGAACCTCGATAACTCGAACTTCTATAAGTCGAATTTTCAACAACTTAAAAGAACGTTTTGGCCCCTACTTTATAACATATCATATGTGTAACCCCCTGTAAGTCGAATTTTCGATAACTCGAATTTTTTTTTTTTGCCCCCAACCGATTCGAGTTATCGAGGTTCCACTGTATTTAGTTTTAGATATCTTATTTTGAAAAAAAAAATGTGTGTTTAAAATAATATTTATTAATACATCTTTATCCCAAATCAATTGCTCTATTACGTAAAAAATGATAGCGACAGGTTTAATATTTAGCTTAAGCTATTAATAATGTTATATTACAGGGGTGGCCAAACTTTGGCTCTCATAATAGAATCATCATAGACTCATATGGTTCGTATCTTATCATAAGATACAAATGTTATTACACAAAAAAATTATTTTCAATATGAATTTACATATTTGAAGAAGTATAATGTCTTATTAAATTTCAATTTATAGAAACAATTTACAAAAAAAAAAAAAATATTGTGTTTTTGATATAATATTTAAATATGTATTTATTTTAATTTTTAATTATTAACTAATATTTTGTATTGTTTCGCATATTACACATTTTATTATAATTGATTCCTAATAATTATCTTATTTATGATATTCATGTATATTAATATGAACTTTTTTTTTTTCATTTTGGCTCTTGCATATTTATTAATATATTGGGCGGATCGCGAGTTTCTTTTTGCTGGCCACTCGTGTTATACTATTTTAAAATGTAGTGCCATTGTAATGGACGTATTCAATTTTAATTCAATGATATACCACCATTGAAATTTTTATTTTATCATTATTACAGTAGATTAATTTAATTTTTGCCGAAAACATTGCATTTATAAATATTATTAATATTTAATTATTATAATATTTGATTGCTTTTATTAACTTTTAAATTAATACCACTTTACCGTAAGATAGTGTGAATAAGCTATGATGTAGCATGCATATTATTCGTCACTCTAAAGTTGTGGATTGGAATGATTGTTTAATTCAATTTTAGCTGAAATAGATATTATCTATAAAATAGTTTACTTATTATTTTGAAATAAGTAAAATTAATAAAATTCATGGAATATGTAAAAGTTTTAATGTTTTTAAATTATAACAAAATAATAAATATCGTTATCCAATGTAACTACTAAATTTAATTTGCCACTAGAAAATCTAAGCATTTTTATTGTCTTAAAAGATGATTATAATAGACACAAAAAATAAAAAATTGATAAATATTTTGTAAAATGTCATTATGTTAAACAATATTATATAATAAATAAAAAATTACAAGACAACCATGAATAATACTTTTAAATTACAATAGATTAAAGTAAATTAAATTATTTAAAATTATTTTTCTTCATTTAAAAAAATTTATCCAAATTTGAATTTTATATAGCTATTAAATAAAATTGTAAACTTTTATTTTTTTGATTTTAGTTTAAACTACTTATGAGGAATTTTTTATTATGTTTTATACCTTTAATTAAAAAATTGAACACTTTATAGATGTTGAATTTCAAATACAGTTTTAAATTTTAATTATTTATAAATAGCTCAAAAATAGTTGAAATATTTTGAAAATTATACTATGAATGGAAAATGAAAATGTAACCATTTAATGAAAAATCCAAATTTTTAGTTATTCGTTTTGAATTATAACAAAATAAAGAAATCAAATTTGTCGAAAACCGGTTTAGCCTAAAAATCTCGGTTATTGTTCAATTTTTTTCGATTCAATTTTCTGCCAGAAACCATTCCAAAATTTAAAATTAAAGCATTTTTATTGTTCCAAAAAATGATGACTGATATAAAATAAAATACACATTGTAGTTTCAATACATTCGTCATTCCATTCTGAGTTTATAATTTAATGTGAATGTATATACAGTAGAACCTTATTAATCTGGACTAATAGAAGCTCTAGTTTGTCTGGTCTAATGAAATTTTGAATTAAATAAAATAACCAAAAATCATGTATTATAGATTTAAGAATATGTATTATAATTTATAACAAACAAGATACTTACATACAAGGCCCTACAAAATCATTATTAAGTACATACAATCATTATATTGGTTTAAAGATGCTGCTGATCATAGGCGCGCGTAGAAATTTTTTAGCGGAAGGCAATTTT